AAACTCCTCCGGAACGACTTCACCGATCGTTATGAAATTTGGTGTGTAAATTCTGTAGGTATGCGAATCGGACGTAAACTATTTCCCGTTTCGAAATTCTTAAAAGGGCTCCGCCCCAGTGGCTCTGGAGTTTCCCATGTTAACCTTATGAGAAATGGAATTAATGAATCTTAACAGCTGTTTCAATTAAACAAGTTGGTTCTGTTCTACGATGTTCAATAGCATTAAAGTTACAAGGATTACCAACAGGGTGCAGCACTATTATTTCTTTTACATTTATGACAACAGCTAATTTGCAACCAAAAGGTGAGTAAGCGTAGCGAACGAACTTCAACCTGGAGGCGAGTTAGCGTAGCGAACGAGCTAACCTGAAGGCAAGTGAGCGCAGCGAACGAGCTCCAACTTAAAGGTGAGTGAGCGTAGCGAACGAGCTCCAACCCAAAGGTGAGTGAGCGTAGCGAACGAACTTCAACCTGGAGGCGAGTTAGCGTAGCGAACGAGCTAACCTGAAGGCAAGTGAGCGCAGCGAACGAGCTCCAACCTAAAGGTGAGTGAGCGTAGCGAACGAGCTCCAACCCAAAGGTGAGCGAGCGTAGCGAACGAACTTCAACCAGGACGTGATTGAGCGATGCGAACGAGATCATCTTGAAAATTAAACGTAACGGTACTTTCTTTCCATCGGTCTGTCTTAGGGGAAACCTATAACTTAGGCGATACGAAGTTCGCCGGGTCAGCTAGTATTTTATATAATAAAATATATGTACACAGCTAAGAGTCAGAACATTGTGCAAGTATTTTGAGAATCATTCAATACACTGTGTTACTCTTCAAAACGTAGTATAAAATTAAAATAAGCCGATTATCAACACATTAAAATTTTATCCAAACGTGCAAAGAGGAATTTTTATTAGTAGACTAACTATAGGAGGTATGCAATTTATTTTAACAGAATATTGATTTAACTAGAGAACCCGTGCGGCTTAATGAGCCGCATAGTATGAAACATAACGCCTAGGAAAACCTTATGCTTAAATTCGAGTAACTTAAGTTACATCTTAGAATTGCTTGAAAACTTGTTAGAAACTAATTTTAAATATCTCTATTGGCGTCGTCAAGGTTCACCTACATTATTTCTTCTCTAAGTTTAAAGTAATTAAAGTTGGTTCATTTTATTTATTTGATTTGAGACATCCCCCTGATCAAACGAATTTTCTCCGTAGAGTAACCTGAAAAGTGGGGTGATATCAACCATTTAATGTGCTCCATTTTTTAACCACAAAATCTGGGTTACCAACTCTGGACAGCCATAACCTGCTTTGAATAGGCTAAAGCAGCAACGCCATTGAAAGATGGTTAACGCGTAATTTGACGTCTTGTCTGTCAGTCCCAGGGTTTATTCCATTGTCTGTGGTCACAGTATATGCCCCGCATCAGAACATTCTCACATTGTTCAGTGCAGTTTCTCTTAATTACCTTTCCCAAAGTTTTGAAAGTATGGATACATTTGTCGAAATAGGTTGGTTCTTGTAGCTATAATATTTGGATAGCAATTTTACTTTTCTCTTTTTGAACAGTGTAGGCTATATTATTTGCCTCTCCTGAATCATAAAAATAATCTTGACCGTAACTACTCGATCGTTTAATACATAAACACTAATTCCATCACTTATGTATGGTCTAATATTGCCACTAAAAACTTTCAATAGCAAATGAGTTTATGAAACTTCTTATTTTTGACTTGAAATGTCTGGATTTTGTTGGTGAATTCAGTAAAAAAAAAAAACGTAGGCCTATAAAATTGTCCGAGGAACTGGCAACATAACATAGTAGTAAACAATCCATTTACGTTTTTTTTTTTCAATTGAAGTAGAGCGAGTAATACAAAAGTTTACGATAAAAACATAAGGTCCGCCAAGATTTGGGTTAAACTTACTACTTGAACTTATCATAGTCAAGGCATTATTATAGTTTCTACTAAATGTTTTGAAATGTCCCGATCTGTTAGTGTCTGAAGTAAACATTTCTTGTATGCATTAATTTGATCTGACATTAGGCAAGTTTATTTTCCCACCATGACAACACTAAGTTGCATAGCAGTGGCAATTTGTATTCAGCTTACCAAGTGAATGTGTATCTGGATGGGTATCTGTTAGACCAGGCCTCTATTTTTCTACTCTCCTCAGTCCTCATACGCACCAGACATCTTATTATTAATTGTGTCCTCCTCCCGTGTTCAATAGTTCTTCTATGAACTTGAGGCATTTTCTGTTCTTCCAACAAAACTGACTTAACAACTGAAATTTTGGTACTTTCCTGTTAAAGGGAACATTCATTATTATCGATGATTTCTGTTTGATATATCGATATTTTTGTTTTACTTCACGATTGGTATTCCCTCTTTTTTAATATCTTCAAACGCATTTAAATTACAAATTAAGAACTAACCTTGTTTAGGCAAAAATAATAGCCTATATATTGGATTAGGATATGAAACTATTCTAAACTAACCTAACATAACTAACCAAACTTGCTGTATAGGCTAAGTTAACGTTTCAAAATTCCATTTGATAACAGAAAAGGCATATGGGGAATAGGCTATCAAACGGAATTTTGAAATGTTACAGCAAGTTTGGTTGGTTAGGTTAGTTTAGAACAGTTTCATTTCAATGTATATTTTTTTTAAATTGTTTGTTGATACTGAACAATATTTATTTACTGTATCCTATACTATGTATAGTACTTATCAGCTGATATGTTTCAATTTGTTACTATCAATATATCGGATGGAAAACAAAAATATCGATATATCGAACAGAAATCATCGATAATAATGAATGTTCCCTTTAACAGGAAAGTACCGAAATTTGTTTAACTTGATCTTAACCTACTAAATATTACAAACATCAATATTTACTCCCAAAAAGCTAATGAGTTCCTTTTTATAAACAGCTGTTTTTTGTTTTTAAATTTGTTCTATGTATTTCTTATGGGGAAACCCCGACTTTTGAGAGGGTCTCCCGCCCTTAAGAGCAAGAATTTTAAAATTCTAAAACCTTATTGCATAACTACATATTGAGACGAATCTTTTGACACCTCAAACGTTGAAATTGGTCCACAAATAAGGGAGGAGTTGCGTTAACAAAAAACGGCTTCACGTATTATATATATAGATTCAATTGTTTCTATCAGTCTTTCAATATTTACTAGGTGAAACCCGTCGAAATCGACGGTTACTCTCAAGGCTTACGCTAATTCATCTACGGAAAGTTAGGTTTAGTGGAATATACTTTAAGTAGCTGCTTAAATAGTATTTACTCTTTATGCCTTTTTTATAGCCGAAATGTCATGTTATTTTCAATCATGTTAACAACCCAGTGGGCCGCGGTCCGTAATATAGGATACTGCAAATAATTTCTCAAGATAGGTACCATTTTAGGCAAGATTTCTGTCTTTGGATGTTATTAGACATGATAAGAGCACAATAAACTTCTTCTGCAGATAAATAATCTGCTGGAGAGATATAAGCCGAATTATAAATGTTACAATGCGAGTTCAAGCATTTTGTAACTATATGGGTAAGTTACATAGTATTTTTTAGGCTGCTGCTCAGTGCACTTTATAATAAATTAAATGGTTTTTGTTGCTGAGTAGCGCTAGTAAACATGTACAACCCATTTCGTTATTCAAATAACATTAAAAGGCTCTCTAAGAGTTCAAATTCTTATTTGTATACATATCTATATTATGTGTTCACTATGATGAATGAATACTTTATAGCAACCTCTCTGAAAAGTCTGTAGTAAATTGCGGATTTACAACTTAATGACTTTCTAAATCGTGCACATATTTCTACATAAATATTGTAAAATGTTTTATCGATTTGCTGTAAACTACTATTAATGTAACAAAATATGGACACGGCTCAAATGGACAACGTGCCCTTCTGCACTTGTATTATTTTATATCGTATTACACATTCGACTATTTTTCCAATGATTGAAAACATGTATGACAATAATCTCATGAACCTATGATGATCTGTAGAATAATATGATAAAATATAGGCAAAGGTGGTGAAAAAGGCAGACAACAACCCGTAGAACAGATATTAGATAGTTTAATAAGAAATTATTATAAGAGTTCTGTGATAAAAGGAATTTCCACTGATTTCGTAATGAAACGTTATATTGCAAAATATGACATGATACAGAAGAAAATCAATTTTAAAATCAGAAAATAACATTGCAAATACTTCTTCTGGACAATTCAGTAACTCCCAATAAATGCGTGTTGTTTAAAACACAATTTAAAAATTAACAGCTGTTTCATTAAAAAGTATTATATGACCAAAATGTCGATATGGCCAAAGCTGTCGAGGGATCTTTAAAGGCTTCTGGGGCAGAGCCCTAAGCAAATTTACTTCGTTTATCTTTTGATAACTCATCTACAGACCAAGACCTTTCTTTGGACACCTCTATCAAGTTTCTACGCCCAGCAGTTCTCTCAAATTAGTGGAGACAAAGTTTCCAATTAAATATTTAGATTCCCCCATGTTAATCTTATGGGAGCAAACCCAACTTTGATGGAAGATCCTGCCCAAACTAATAAAGATATCAAAAAACGAAAAACACTTTGCAAAACTACAGATCAGGGCCATTGTTTTGACATTTTAATCATCAAAATCGGTCCAAAAATGTGGGAGGAGTTCTGTTTACAAAAATCGGCTTAGCGTATTATATATATAGATTATGACATTATGGAAGATGTATCTCTCTCAGCCAATCCATCGTGTTGTATTTTTACGTTTGTCTGATAACAAATATAGATTAATTCTACTGTGAATGGCACATTAGATGAAAACTGTTAACAGTTTTCCCATCATAGCATTTGTAGAAGAAATGTAGTCTAGCCGCATGAAATGTTACAGTTTTAATCAAGTAATCAGATAATTTTATCGAGGTCAAGTTAGATTAGTTGTTTACTTTGGATGAAACAACTGGCATTCTTTCATTAGTTACAATATGTAGATAAGCAAATCTATAGCAGTGAGAGTATAAACAGTTCATTGTCCGTAAGAAGAAATTAGCAAATGGTGAAAATAACAACGATCCCGAATGGGAAATAAAGTGACAGCTGTTAAAGAAACTATAAAGAAATGGAACCCGTTCAGGAATCCGTGGGACGATTTGAATGATATAGAGGCTGACAGGAAATGGCTGAGAGAAAATCCCTACGTACCCCCACCTGTGAGGATTTTGAACAGAGACGCTTGGGGTGCGAAAAAACCAAAATGGCGGCAAAAGCTGAAAACACCAGTGACCCATTATGTGCTACGGTACTTCAGTGACACAGATTATTGTTGGAACGACATGGAATGTATTAGAACTCTGAAGCAGCTGCAAGAGGAACATTTGAAAATGGGCATGCCCGACATAGCGTGGAAGTAAGTGTCAAATGGTTTCACTGATCCAAAGATCTATATACTTAATACCGTGAGGGTTTCCATGTTACACCCCTTTTCCAGCTTTACATCTAAAATCAACAAATAAATTATTCTAAATTAGTAGTTCGATTCACCTAATTACTCTTCTAAACCAACGTAATCTTGAAAAGAAAATGGTTATTGCACTGAATTCATTTTTCTTTAGAAACAAGTTTTGTACCCTATTAAAATTCGCTGTTTGGGTCACCTCGTGAATATTAAAACTTGTTTGGTAATAATTATAATAATAAATAATAACTAGTTTTATTATGATACAGCTCAAAAGTGAAATTTCATATCCATGTTTTTCGTTTTGGTAATCAATCTATTAAACCTAGGGCCCAGCTGTCATTGTTTATTGTTCCACTTAAATAAATGTCCCTGACTAAAAAACAGCTGATCAGAGTCAGTAACAAGGCTAAGCAGATAATAATAATACCCTTAAATTATACCATAGATTATGACTCCTTAAAATTTACGCTCAAGCTGCACGCTTAAAATAAATTAATAATGCGTAATTAACAGCTTCATGATTGGCTGCGATGGCACAGTGTACGAAGGCAGAGGGTGGGAGACGAATGCCACAAAGACTGATTATGGAACCTTGCAGTATGATGGACAAACCATAGATGTTGCACTCATGGGGGATTTCAACGGTAAGTTAACCTCTCGTGATTGGTTTGAATATAAGGAGAAGGTCTTGTTGTTTATTAGATGTTGTTATTTAGAGAAGGTAAATTGTTTGAATTGGTGGAATCTAACAATGGTTATTGATTTAAACATTATATTTTTATAGGTTCTGTACAATAAATTGCTATACCATTAGTTTATAGTAGATTAAAATGTTGGTGAGCCATGTTAATGTTCTCATCGCAGCCATGGAGATCAATCAATATTTACATGAAAATGTTCACCTCAGAACTTTTAAAGCCAAAGGGACAAAGCCTACGGTCAGTATCGAAATGTGAATAGTCTTATAATGATCCTTGGTATGGTAGCTATATTTTTGTAAAATTTAAGCCCTGTTGGTTCAGTAGTTTTGCACCTATTATTAACACACATACAGACAGACACCATTAGATTGTTATATAATAGTATAGATATAAATTAAAATGTTGGTGAGCCCAAAACTTCTTTCATATGCTTCACAAAGAATACTGTTTCTCTGAGAACTGAAAATAAATCTCACACAACTGATTTCCTATGTGTACCTCAAGGGATTTTAGACTTGTGATGTAAACAAACTTTCAATCATCACCCACATCTCAAAAAGAGTCGCATTATTTTTATAGAGTTTGAACGGAAATCCTTTGTAATATGCATCAAATTAGGAGAATCTAACGTTGATAGCGGGACCGAAAGTCTTTAGCGATAGAATACATTCATCGATTGGTTTTGATACACACCTTCATTTTGAATATACAAAATATATCAAATAACCATGAAATTCACTATCGATGGGGTTTTATTCATTAGTTCTTGCAATACAGTTTAAAGTGATCGAACATGCCTATCCTCTTCCGTTCTTATCATTTCTAGGAGTTGGCGTTGACCAAGTCCACTTCCTCCACCATCTTTATAACTCACCTCATCGTTATAACCTAAGAAGATAGCATTCACCTTCTTCTACTTACCATCTAAGACTTCATTTTCTCCCTATAGCGACAAGCTACATTAGTTTAAGTTTCTGCATTCTTCCCATCCAAAATATCTTAGACTATCACGTTCTTCTCTTTCTCTTCAACTAACCCTTCTGGTTAATTCATTCCAGATTTCATTTTACATCAGTTTTTAAATAGCTAGTTCAAAACTAAAAATTGGAAGACACGTCTCAGTTTTGGTTATGGATTCTGTAGAACGGACTGTGTACTATGTTTCAGATTATCAACCGACAGAGGAGATGAACACAGCGATGTGTCGATTGATGAGGAAGGGGGTGGAGCTGGGGTTCGCCACGGAGGGCTGGGATTTTACAGAAGTTTGTGACGTTCCTCCCCACGCCCCTTGGACACCCGAGTATTTCATGAAGAATGACGTGGTCAGTGAAAGAATATACGACGAGAACACAGAACCTCCACCGAAATGACTCCAAGGACTTTGTGACTTAGAGACCACGAACGATTGAATTACTTCAGAATGTATTCCAAGGATAGTGAATTTAATAGTTGTTGGTTTACTGTGTATATCTTTCGTGTCGTCAAATATATCTTAGGAGTAAGTATAAGAGTATAGTGTAGCTGATAAGTTTTGAAGGCAAATGTAGACGACAAAGGATATACTTTAATCAGGTAATCTGAATGCCAATGTCTATACATTGTCTTATATGAATCAGACAAAGTCTGAAAATCCCCTATATACTACTAACTCTATTGAACGGCTTTTGGCACTCCAGGTAGAGTATAAATAAGCAGTTGTAGGACTTTTTTGGACTTCTGATTCAATGTTTGGCATTAACTAATATAATCCTAAGTAAACTAGCCTAATATAGTCATACACAAAATATTTCAACATTGTAAAAAAATTGTATTGTGAGGAATATATTGATTTAATATTAATATTTTAACCGACGCATTGGCATTACGATGCATAGTCAACTTTTTAACTGTATTTTATTTTCATTTTTGGCCAGCATTGTAACCACTTAGTTGTTGATACAACAACAGTAATAATAATAAAAGGTCTTTATTCAGCAAGCGTTTTTTTTTTCAGATATGTACAATTCTGCAGTGCAAGAGTAGCGGTACAAGAATAACAGTTTTTGATCTGTCATTCTAGTTTCATTTTATAAACAATCGCCGCAGGCTTTGCAATAATTGCATTGAGTTTTTAACAGCCATTATTACTTTGTGCTGTTTGAATTGATTTAGCAATATGTTTTACAAATTTACTTGAAAAACCACTTGGTTTCACACAAAAATATTCTTCAGTTAGATATTATCATGTTAACATAATTCTCCGGTGGTTATATTTTCGTATGTCGGTTTGTATGTGTTTTTATCAATCATTTGCAACTCAAAATATTTTTTATCTATACTTATTTAATACGCAAGCAGGTTTTTTGTGACAATTACTCCTCCGAAACTACTGAACCGATTGACATGTTTTTGGTGTCATTGGAAAGAACGTAACGTGAAGTTGTGCAGGAAACTTTCTTTTTAGGGAAATAATTAGAGAGTGAGGCCCTGGGGCCCTTTAAAGTTTCGTATTTCTCCATAAGATTAACATGGGAAACAAACATTGTTATGAAACTCCAGCTGTTGTCAGAAATTAAAAAAGTAAATATTAATAATTGGTCTCCATGGAAGCATGAGAAAATTCACAATGTTTACCTTTACTTTGAAATTTCAATGTAAACAACCAAAACTGCCTAATGCTTATTTCAAAATTTCAGACAGCTGATCCAAACAAGTTAAATACAATATTTTGCAGGAATATGTGGTAGATTTATTTATTCTAAAACTATGTCATTGATTATGGAAAAAGATTCTATAGCCGTAAGTTATAAACATAATGTTATTGATATACTTTCATGTAAACAGTAGGACTACAATGGCGGTTATAATTTGGTGTATAAATTTAATGGCTTTTTGTTTATAAATTAGAACTACTTAACAAGTGTTTGGATTAGGTTGTATAGTACATCTTCCCGTTGCGAAGCACGGGTACATCAACTAGTTTAAGATAGATACTTCAAATTTAGTTTAAATGCGTACAATAGGTAGAATAAGAGTATACAATTTAGTTTCTGTATCAAAATCCATTTAGGAACGGCATCCTAATGTCAAATTTCATGAAACCCGTTATGAAGATAGATAGAAAATGCACAGTGAAAAGCCAAATCAAACGACACTGTAACCCCAAAGTTAGTCTAGTTGGGTTCGTCTAATGACATTGACATGAGATATTCTTATTTTATTCTACAGTTGCGAACGTTACTGTTAAACTCCTCCACGACGGCTCGGACCTTGCTACTATTAGAAAACTTCTTTAATACTTTTCAATGAAATAGCGACCATATAAAGTAGGTATTTTAAGCCAAGTATGACCAAAGCCAAAACCAAAGCCCAGCCAAAACCAAGTATGATCAGTGTAGGATGAGTGGCGCGATCTTGTAGTTTTTTTAGTGACTAAGGCCGAAATATTCCTTAGACACAGAGGTTAATTAATAGCCCAAACAGCTAATGGCAATTAAGGGACCTACAGTTTATAGTGGAATCCGAACCACATTTTCGCCTAGGTGTTAACAAATTGGTCTAATTATCTTCTTCCCAGGGACCTGTATCAGGCATAGATTATAGAGACCGAATGGTAGCAAGACGTGATCGCTGAGCAAGACGCACTATGTACATGTACTGGGCATTGGGCAAAGCTAAATCTCATAAGTGAAAGTGGCACTTTACTTGTAATGTGTCTATTGCTTTCTTCTTCTTAAAGTCGTTTAGACAATAATGTATCCTAAAAAATTAAGCATGCGAAAACCAAAGATTGTCCTTAAATTCGATAATCCAATGAGTCAACCATTTTGCTGTCACACGAAAAATCGTAAGATGCCCGAATGATATTTTTCCTATTTGCTGACATATATTTCTGGAAACATCGAAAATACCTCAGACACCAGAAACATGTATACAGCCTTTACTAATGCAATGTCTACCATTGTACCAACCCCAACACGCTACCTAGACTCTTAATAAAACACTATTTATTTTCATGAGTATGTAGTGTTGTGTTTTTACATATCTTAACTCCTATTTTATTTGATTTATTTAGTTACCAACCGCAGTACACTATTTCATAAATGTTATCTAATTTATTACGGTTTGTAAAAAAAAACTTACAAAAACCAACAGCAAAGAGCATGTGTTATCATTTGGCGTAGAAGTAACAAATTGATGATTCAAAATGAACATTATTGTACGGAAAATACGCTATGAATAGGAAGGAAATTGCTTGTTTATGCATTCAGGTCACTGACTGTATTGTTGTTGGGAAGCAAAACCTGATGGATAAACTCATATTTATCACAATAAGTACAATGGATCTGCTGCACTTTCATAATACAAACCATGAACTACATTCATTTATACAAAATTAATTGGGACAAACTAAAAGTGGGTTTCTAATAAAAGCACCAAATGGTAAGCAGCATATCCTGATTATATTAAGATTTTCATTCTTTACCATTTTATTCTATGGAGGTTTGTGGTATCGAGTGTAAATATCAATCTTTTGAGATTTGTGGTATATTTACTGAATTACTAAGAACAATCTAAGAGGCTATTGATAAGGATAAAAATCTAAGAAGAGTTTGCTAAAAGCTATCTTATATGTTAATTAAGTTTTTAAACTAGCCAAACTACATGGAAATTTCAAGTAAACTTAAAAACCCGTAAAATAAATTGAATGGGTACTAACAATATACTGATATTATCATTAGTAATACAGATTTACATTTAAATTGATTATAGGGATCGGGGAAAAAGTAGTTCGTGTCTACATTTTATAAGAATATTTTGCAAATAGTAAATTCGATATTTTGATATAAAAGTTGTGTGAAGATCGCTTACTTCCGGAGTGATTCTTTTTGACAGTCCTGGGTAACGGGTTTCGATTCATTTTCAATTAAAAAATTTGACATATTACTGTCTGATGAAGACCTTAATTGGAAATTTTTCTTGAGAATGAATCTTGATCCAGTAGCAGAATACAGTATAAATATCTGACTAAAAGTTTACATTGTCGGTTATTTACAACAACTGTTAATACAAAATAGACTTAATTTATTAATAAACTATTATTATGATCATGTCGACCTTTTAAATGTCGTTTTAATTGATGTTTGGAGAGTTTTAATGCATGTAATGAAAAGTATCAAACTTAACAAAACTATTTTGAAATCAAATACACTTTGATCTTAGCCAACAGGCCGAACATTTTTAGTATTAAGTAATAAATCATAAGTTTAACACTGGTAGTGGAATAAAAATATTTTAAAATATTTTTATATTTTAATGCATAGACAATTTAGGTCAAAGCAATGACTATTAGACTCAGAAATAGATATTCTATCTATATGAAACAGCTGTCGCCAATTTTTTATTAAAAAGAATTTAGTTGTGTGAGCCACTCACAGAATGTGCTAGTGTCTAAAACTCTATTTTCTACTTTATTTTTTTGTTGCTGGCGCTGGCATATTTGATGGGTCAAGTCAGTTTGCTATAGATCATGTTAAAGCCAACATGATTGGCATTGTACACTAAGGTTGTAAAGAATGGAGATGAAGCATGCAAACATAACCAGAACATGTCACATCCCAGCTGGTGACGTAATTGGAAAACCTAGTTTGTTTGTTCCATTTTATTTTGAACAAATAAACATGAATATTTATAGGTTAGTGTTCCAAATTGCAGTTTTATATGGATCATGGAATATATTTTGGGATGTAGAACATGCTCTGTTTATATTTTTCTCCTCAACAATAATACAGTTAGTGACCTGGATGCATAGGCGAGTAATTTCCTTCCTTTACAAGGCGTATTTTCCGTTCAATAAGGTTCATTTTTTAAAAAATTTGTGTTTTTTTTGCCAAGTGATAGCGTGAGTTTATTTACAGGTGGCTCCTTTAAAATATATTTCTACTATATTATATACTATATACTATATTATATATTATATAGTATATATTATATATTATATTTTAAATAGTATATAATACATTCTAAAAAAAACATTATCCCTATTTCTTCTACTTGGTGGCGTTCTATGACTTTTTATGTTTCCGTAGTTTGCAAATCAGTTCTTTCCATGATTGTCAAGAAATACAATACTGTGTCAATTCAATTTACTTATTTGGATAATCTATCAAACTGTCCAGGCTTTCTCACAATTTTAACTAGGTCAGTAAAATTTTTGTTGGACGCATTTCCTTGAATTGCAACTTAAATAGTAACAGCAATGAAATTATCATCTGATCATAATGCAAACAATAATATTCTTCATAAAGAATAACATGGGAACTTTAAAAGCACCTGGGGAAGAGCCCAAGGGACGTTTTCAAAAATTTAAGGTCAGTTTGCAAATCTTTCAACGAGACGTGAGTGGTTAAAATCGGGTAAGAATTGGCGGAGGAGTTCAAAGGACAAATTTTGTGTTAGTAAATTAATTATATAGATATTTAATAATAAAAAAATAGTTATTTGTGTAACTAGTGGTGAAAGTGGCACTTTGCTGCACACGAGAGCAATGTTTACGCACGAGCCGCAGGCGAGTGTGGAATGATCTCGAGTGCAGCAAAGCCCTTTTTCGCTCGTGTTACACATTATATTTTTCCTACAGTCACTATAAAGCATATAAATAATTAGTCTTTCAAACACTATGCAACACGTTTTTAGGTTCAGCTGGCAACACAAATGGTGCCCTAGAGAAAGTAGTACCCGCGGTCCATATCACTCCGCTATTTTTCCTCGGCAAGAAATGTGCTCCACGTTTTGAGAATATAGTTCCGTATGTTTTTGTAATTTGAAGTGGTTTCCGCGCCTAAAAAAAATTCTCAAAAGGTATTT